TGTATATGTGTATATTTTTTTTATTTAATTTTTATTGGTCCTTTTCCGTATTGACCTTCCACTTAATGAAATATTCAGAAAATTTGCATCGGTGGTAAAAAAGTTTAACTCTGCTTGAAAATCCAAAGTTGGGAAAAAAATTGGTATATTTTCACCCAAGTTAATGTTGCGATAGTAGTAGAAGCCCTGAAAATTGTTCGTTTTAAATAGAATGATATATATATATATATTTATACTCTGTGTGAGAAAGATATATAGTAAGGGTTACCTTGGGCACAGGACACTTTCCTGGATAGTTGCTGTTCTTTATTATACTTTTGTAGGCAATCCTCGCGACTTTGTTAGCTAAATTTTTTGAGTTGAGATTACAGCCATCTCCAGACAAATCTATAGCTTTGCGGAATTCCTTCGAGCTACCCCGTCGAATAAAGACGGCTAAGCTAATATTTAACTTTTGCAAATCTCGAATATATTGAAATTCCGCAGTTAACAGTGTTTTGTCCTTATCAACAGTAATGCATCTGTGGGACTCAATAAAATCATGATCTACTTTACAATCAAACGTATCCCAGGTCACAATCAAATGGTCCGCCAGCTGTATAGTAGTAGGGTATATTTAATGGAAGATCCACTGTATTAATGACTAAAATAATAAAACACACCTTAATGACTGGCGATGCCATAGACATATGGCAAAGCACTGCCAATATATATAAATTATCCATTTGGCAAGCGAATCGGCTGACGTTTTTGCAATGACTAAATAATTTGAATGCAATTGAAAACAGTTTCAATACCTACATCAGCTTTGAATCTATTTTGAACTCTGATTTCTCAATTATATTTAAACATTTTTGTTATTCAATTAAGTTTTAAATTTTTAGCAGAGAGCGTTTTGCGATTGTCGACATTTTCCGATTGATGGCGATTAAAAATTTTTAATAATAATATTTGTGATGAAGCGAGAAGAGTATATTAGCTTTGTGCTGCTTGGGATGATGTTCATCAGTATCCGTTAAAAACATGAATACCTTTTTGTTATCTCTGAAAGTAATACTAAAATAGCATTGACTCCGATCAAAGACGTGCATAAAGTCTAGCATTATCTCGCACACGCCTTTATTATGATAGTAAATAATTAATTTCTTATCGGTCAATTACATATTTGCATGTAGTATTGATTGGTTTATCTGCGTGATATATTTCCGCTTATGGAAATATTTGTTAGTGAGAAATTCAACGTAAAGAAATCCAATTGCACCTTAAAATCTACAGATGGAAAAAAGAGAGGAAGGTTTTCACCCACGTTAATGTTGCGGTAGAAGTACAAGCCCTGAAAAGTGGAAGAGATATATATAGAGAGAGTTATATTAATATTTACAGAGAGAGAAAGAGAGAGCGAGATAGAGAGAGAAAGAGAGTGGGGCTTACCTTGGGCAAAGGACACTTTCTGGGATAATTGCTGTTCTTTACTATACTCTTGTAGGCAATATTCACCATTTTGTGAAATACTGTTTTATTGTTGAGTTCACAGATATCGAAAGATAACCCAAATATTTTGCGAAATTCCTTCGTCTGCGTGCGTAAAAAATATACCGTAAGGGTGGTATTAATCCGTGCAACTTCTCGAATATATTTAAACTCGGCTGTCAAGAGAGTCTTATCCGAATCAAGAATAAAGCATCTGTAGAAGGGAATAATTTCCGGATTTACTTGGCAATCTAACGACCGCCAGGTTACAATCAAATGGTTGGGCTGTTGGATAGTTTAGCAAATTTGAATTTATAATGAAATTTGGGCTACATGTACTCACCTTATTAGCTAAATCAGCTAAAGGCCACAGCACTGCTAAAGCAATAAAAATATAATATAATTTATTCATTTGGCAAGCGAATAGGCTGACTCTTGTACAATGACTAAATATAGTTGATGTACAAATGTGCAAATTGCTTTGGTATCTAAATCTAATTTGAGTCTATGTCGAACTTGTTTTTCCTAATTATATTTATTAGTTTTTTATGCAATTAAATTACAATTTTTAGCCACGATGAATTTGCAATAAATTGCAAATGTAGAGTTTCCACATTAAGGATCAAATTGATCGAAACTCTGGGTTTTCCTAATACTAATATATTTGTTTGCGTCGTGAATAGAGTATATTGGTTTTGTGCAATGCTCAACCTAGAAGGCCTGTCTGAAACTATGTTAAGCTATTCTCATAAATATTAAAAAATACTATACTTAAATTTTAGCATATATACTGTTAAAGTCAATTCAAGAAAAGGTTCATATAGTAGATAATTAACCGTATGTTGCGAATAATATACAAAATAAATGATTCACATCAAAATGGAATATATTAAGTAATTTATAAAGGGTGCAATATCGATATGCTTTTAGGATTTCTTAACCCTATGCACTGGATAGTCAGTCAAGCGTCCACTTAGAGATACATTAAACATCGGCGCATTGGGTAGAAAGAAGTCTAACTGCACTTTAAATTCGTACTTCGGCAGGAAGGGTTGCAAATTGTCTCCTATGCTCATGTTGGGATAGTAGTAAAAGCCCTGAAAATATTTGTATGATATACTATATAAACATTTCGCTTTAATCTCCAATACGACTCACCTTGGGCTGTGGACACTTCTTGGGCATATTGCTGTGCTTCAGCATGCTGTTGTAGATGACTTTTATTAGATTATTCTTATAGGCTCCACTAAAGAACTGGCAGATATCTAGAGTCAGATCGACGGCCTTGTAATAATTTTTGAACGGTCCTCGTGGCAAAGACAAGGCGATCTTGGCATTGTACTGTTGAAATCCTCGATTATATTCTATTTCGCCCGTAATTATAGTTTTCGCCGGATTCACGATGAAACATTTGTGGTATGTAACAATATCCGGATTTTCAATGCACTCGAAGCTGCTCCACTGGACAATGGTGCGCTGAGAAATCGGAGATATTAGTTCTCATCCTTGAGTGATTGATTAATGAGAATACCTTGGCGGCCAGACTGGCCGTTGACAGCAGCAGTAGGAGAGCAAGTACTTTGTCCATGCTTAGCTAATTACTGGACTGGTTAATTGTTAATATTGCACTGGAGGTGGAAAACAGAAATAAATATATGAAATTGTATGGAAAATTAGCTGACCAATTGCTAACTTAATGATGAATGATTTATATTTGAAGATAAAACTCAGCTTGATTGACATTGTACACAGTGTAATAATTCATTATGGCTTTAGGTATTCGATACAGTCCCTTCGAGCGTAATATTCAAATAACATTGATTCCGATCAAAGAAGTGGACCTGGGTCATTAGATGGCTGACGGGCACGAAGCTAGGCATTGCCTCTTCCACGCTAATATTATAATAGTAAAGCAAGCCCTAAAAATATATGTGAGCCTATATATTTAAATGTACTATTATTTCGTAACTTTATTGAATTAAATCTTACCTTGCTTATTGGACATTTCGTTGGCTGATTGGTGGCCTTAATTATAGAGCTATAGATATTGGAAATTATTCCCTTTCGCGACACCTGGGATATAACACGGCAAGCATTCAGAGTGTTCTCAAATAATTTTTGGTATATTCCAGCTGTCGTATACGTTGTGGATATTAGAGAATGTATTTTTACAGCTTTTAGCTCTTGTAGCAAATTAAGTTCCACATTGAAAGCTGAGCGTCGCGGCTGCACCACATCACATTTGTATTCTGATATATAGTCGGAATGCACCTGACATTCGAAAGTGCTCCAGCGTAGCCTCAAATTTCGATTCTGCAAAGGGGAAAAATTGTTTGGAATATCATAAATAAGTTCGAATTGTAGTGATTACCTTTGCTATATTCAGGTTTACTGCAAGCCCCAAAATTAGTAGGGCCATCAAGCGAAACATGTTGCCTGACCATGGAATGGACACTGCCTAAACGAAATAGTAGTTTATGGAATTTTTCTACATCTAATTGCTCTGATGGTAGTAATTAGCGATGTGAAACGAACGAGTTACAACATTTCATACTCAATAAATATTTATTTATTTTCGATTTTTCTCGATTTTATTTATTTATTTATTTAGTTTTATTTTTTATTTTTTTTATTTTTTATTAAACAGGCTTTTTACTACCTAATTGACAGCCTGACAAGTTGAACATAAAGAAACAATTATTTGCAGTACAACACTATTTTATTTATTGAAGTTTTTCTTTATTTTATTTCAGCATAATTATGTATGCTTTAATTTTTTACAGTTTCTTAGTAAACATTAAGCATAAAAATGCAGAATCGCAGCATACTTTCGGGCATTTGAATATGTTGCAAATGTTAGATGTATACATATATAAAATATTTTTATAAATATTTCTTCCACCTCGGACGTTCTTTGGCATTTTCATACAAACGCCCCATGACCGTAATATTCAGCACCGACGCCACTTTGGGCAAAAGCCAATAGATACGTACTAGAAAATCGGACTCAGAAAGCACGGGCGGCAACGCCTCGACGATTGTGATATTGCGCGCACTGTAATAGCCCTTGAACAGGGTAGAGAGATACCAGCTTAGGTAGATGTATATTTGAAACACTTCCACTTACTGCATTTATTGGGCATTGAATGGTGCGATTGCCCAGGCAGGTCATAGCACTGAGTAACTCCATTAGGGTCTTTCTCTTTTGCTCCCGCAACAGCTTGCACAGCTCAAACGACACCTCGAATATCTTGTGCATTTTATTCCTCTTCGGTATGGACACCTTCAGGGTGCCCGTTAAGCTGGTGATGTGCTGCACTAGCATCAGTGCTGCGTTGATGCTTTGATTCCGTGGCGGCACTGCGCTGCAATTCGCTTGGGCTATGTACTTTGGATTGCCCGAACACTCCACCTGCCTAACTACAATATAGTAGCCCATATGCTAGACAAAAGTGGAACTATATAGATCATTCTCTCTCTCTCTCTTTTTCTGATTTCTTACCGGCATCATCTGTGCTGTGACACAAAAGCACAGCGTGGTGGCCATAAATAAACTATTTCCCAACATCCCGTTGATTGCGAGCATCTTTAAATCCAACTCAAACTCCAAGTCCAACTGAAACAGAACTGATTCAATAGTTTGGCATTGGACTTTTCCGATAATAAAGTGTTTTGGCCGTTTAATTATCGGAACGATTGAGTCATTAAATCTATATTCATTTTTAAATGCTTATTTGTTTCTGCAGCTGTGGCGAGGTGTGCTCATGAAGTTGGCATAGTCATAATAAATGTTGAACAGCAAAAGTTTAACCAAGAGTTTAACCTGAGAATAGCTGAAATATTCCCAAAATCTATGGCAATTATACATACATATTTATCAATTATAATATGTATTGAATACTTGCCATTCATATATGGTATCATAACAACTCAAGTGATAAGTGAAATGGCCTCGACCTCTGGCTGCGTGCAAGAGGACTTAATTTCACTATAAGTATTACAAAATTTTAACATCTCTATTTCGTATACCAAATTCGATTTCATGTCAGTCCCATAGTTTTACATATTATAACGGCAAACAGCTCGAAGGCAGCGTTGTTTGCCCTGATTGCGATTTGTGGACATTGGTCAAACGAAACTGATGCGCAAACAAATCAGAGGGTATCGATCATAGCAATGCTAGTCACTGCGGTTGCGCAGCGATTAGAGCATTTAGATTAAGTTGGTTTTGGTATTGAATTGTTTTCTGGTATCGGCTTCAGCAACTGCCTGTGTGTGTAAACAATATGGAAGCTGATCATCATCATCATCCGTAGCAGCCTCTGAGATGGCATCAACCGCAAGTCGGCGTGAAGGGCAGTTTGGTAATTTTGTAAGCGCCACGAGGCTGAGAAGCAGCACTCAAACACTCATAAGTGAGTGCTGTGCTGTGCTGTGCASTGAGTGTATGAATACTTGGCTAAGTGGCAATGAGACACAAACTTAATTGTTCAATATTTATTCATTTATTTATTACTTCTTCGCTGTGGTCTTTTATTCGGGTATTCGGTGTATGTAGGTGTGTAGGTGTATAGGTGTGTGTGAGTGTGAATGTCAGTGCCATAAGTGACATAAGAACTGAATTGTTGCAGACAGATCGTATGGCATCGGGCTGTGCTGTGCTATATCCAGTACGTAATACTTTATACTTCATATAAGATATGCATACATACTTAACGCTAACTACTTAATTAAACAAACGCAACTATTGCGGCGCAACGGGCAGATGATCGCCCTCGGGCTGGAAGCCGTTCTCGTCGGCCACATACCGCAGGGTGATGATGTTGCCCTCGGGATCGCTGTAGCTGTAGCTGCCGGTTTGGACCAGGACGAGCTCCTCGTGCTCATCGATTACCTGGCCGTCGCTGGTCTCCGTCTTGGGTATGATGATCTTCTTCAGATAGCCAACGTTCTCCACTCGGATGCCATTCGATGTCTCGTAACTGCATGGAGAGCGTAACTTAGCTTCGAGTCCTGGTGCACTTGGGATCGTCCCGGACTCACCTGCTGTTGAAGCTGCCATCGGCATTGTTCACATTTTCCTGCTGGATGATGCTGGCCGGTGTGGTGGTTGTGGTGATCGAGCTAGCAGCGCGCGCATCCTGCGGACGGGCCAAGACATAGGTCAACAGCAGAGCCGAGCACAAGACAGTCACGAATTTGTACATTCTGTTGAGTTCTGTTAGAATTGTCAGTAGGGGGTTATCCAATTGCAGAGAGTTAATGCACAACTGTTGACTACCCAGCCGCCGCTTGGCCTTTATATACCATCTCGTTGACGAGGGCGAGCACCTGATTCGCACTCGAACTCGCACTCGCACGCACCGCGCCAGCTTCGGTTGCCGCTGCTAACGATTACGATGGGCGCACTAGATAAGCAGCAGAGAGCGTCAAGTACTCGTGCTCGTACTTCACCATAAAAAACAAATTATGAGCGGGCGCTTCTTCGTCTCATTCCGAATGAATACCCTGCTGTCTAACGAAGAGGTATATAGTGTAACAGAAGAATTCTAATAGTCTAGTAAAATTTAGTTTTGAGCTAGTCAATTATAGATTTAACAAGTATTTTACAGGGTATTTGACTGCCCTGCTACATCTACTAACAGATATTATTTAAATATTAGTCATCTAACATTTCATTTAAAATTGAAGCATATTTTATATTTTATCTTGCTTACAGGGTATTTCTCAGTCGTTCACTATCAACTCAAGTACRTTGTTTTGTTTTGTTTTGGTGTGGCCATCGTTTGAGGTTTTTATATTGTCCATTTCGCGCGTCCGATGAGGCCGATGAGTAAACACCGCGCGCGCACCGCCAAAGAGATGAAGATGAAACGACGATGTCAGCGGGTGATACCCGAAGCTGTATGCTACGACAGCTGAGCTGTGACATGTCTCCGTTCGCTGTCTCCGCGATGATGTTGATGGCATTGCCAGTCCGAGTTGGCAGCTACGTGATTTGCCTGCGCCGAATATAATTCTTGCTCAACAGCTGTAAGTTCCGTTGAAACATTGAGGATATGGGGGAAGTGCCAGCGGCGCTGGGAAGCCGCTTGTCCGCAAAGGAATTAAGTTAGTATAACAACGACTCTGATCAAGGCAACAGAGTTTCTTCATGGCGATTCTGATCAAAGGAAACGGTGCTTCGCTACGTTCCTGCACATAACTATTGGATCAAATCAAATGCTCATTTAGGCAAATGGCAAAAGTTAGACTTGCTTGTCATGCCAGGCACGTTGCGATTATGGAAACAATTTGCCGCAGACATTAGAGCACTCATAAATACGCATACGGGCTAACGGTGATCGCAGGCAAGGCGGCTATAAAAAATGTAGAGTACGCGTATTGTAAATGATAAACTTGCCTATTACGTATACGCAGTGAATACCAATAATGGGTCAATGAACCTGAACTGTGACCAGAACGACAGAATTAAGGGTATTTAGTAACGCGAGAGGAAGAGACATAGAGAGAGAGAGAGAGAGAGAGAAAGAAAAGTATTGTGTGAGCGAGAGAAAGGTATTATAAATATCTCTCTGTCACTCTCTTTCTCTCATACAATCATTTAGAAAAGTAGTGAAACGAAAGGCATGAGAGAAAAGTATTTTAAGTACATCTCTTACTTTCTCATTCTTCCTCTTTCTTGCTCACTTTTCAGCACAGACCAGATTCGATGTATTCAACTTAACAGCTGCTTGCTAATACAACAAATTCATTCCGAATTAACACTTTCGTTTTCCGTTTTGGGATTATATAACATTCAGTCGAAATATAGAATTCTCGGTAGCAGACGAAATATTTACTGGGATATAAGAAATTGTCTAGACAAACATTTGCCCCACACCCTCGATTTAACTAATAGGCGTGGTCTTCGGCCCGCTTCCAGCATCGCGAATTTGCAAATTAGAACTTAATTACGAAGAGTTTAACAAGTCGAAGCTTTGCAGCTGTTGCCAACTGCAAAATTGCAATCGAGCAAAGCTGCTAAACGAGGCAAATTGAACACATTCATATATCGCAGAGTTCACGCCTAACAAACAGACGGATCAACGAAGCTTACAGATCCGAATCTCGTTGAACATTTTTGGGCGGGGCACCCCAGGCAGCGAGTCTGAAAGGCAGAGAATGCGCCAAAAAGTTACGCAACTGCCGCAAAAGTCAAGAATTTAATTATGCAAAACATGTTTACATATTTGAATACCATTTCGCACTGGCGAGAAAGTAATCAACGTGCGTGAAAAGAAAACTAAAATTCTTTCCCTATTTCTGTTGAAAACTATTTTGAGAATAATTTTGCTTAATCTTGATATGACTCAAAGGAAACTTTTAGTATTTTTTTTTTTAATTTGCTAGTTTTGTGTATATTTTGTAACTTTAACTTGACTCGTTCAGTTCTTTTGGTTCACAGTTGGTGTTGACTTCACATTTAAGATCACATATATATGCTGGGTGCGATAGTCCATGGGCTAAAGCTGTTTCTCGCTGGGCTGGTAGGGATGCTCGGCTAGGTATTTGAGGGTTTTCAGCACCGACTCGGGCGTGGGTGGTGGTGTGGGCAAATGATTGCCAACTGGCCGATAGCCGTTCTCGTCGGCTGTATAACTAATGGCGTATTCCTTGCCATCGTCGCCGGGGAACGAGAAATATCCCTTGACCGCTTCGCCGTACTGATCCTCTCCGATCTTTTTCAATTCGCCGTTCTGTATGGCTTTTGAGCCGTCGAGCAGCTCGTATCTTTTGAATGGAACACGTTAAATCTTATCGCACGCCAATATCGACACCTAAACGTTTCAGACTTACTGGTAGTAGAATTTGCCATTGTATTCCACATTCGACTTGTTCGTGATAAAATCAACTTGATCTTCGGCACACGTCACGGCCACCAACAGAGTGCAAATTAAGATTAGTTTCATTTTCTGTTTGTTTTGGCTTTGATTATCGGTATTCCAGAATTAATATCCACGCTGTGCAAATGTTTCGGGCCGACTGACATTTGCCTTGCTAAACAAACAGACTTTTATAGAGGGATTGCGATAGACAACACAGACAAAATTCATGAAATTCTCCTACTCTCAGCTATTTAACATATAATTAAAGCTGCCGCAATAAATAATATTGAACCCGTTTGGTTTCTTGCTGGCCTTTTTCAGAATGAGTGTGAAATTTGGTGCAGACGCGCGGCGCTAGCCAAACTAACGATGGGTCTGACCTCTAAGGACTAGTATACCCTGTAAAAGATAGAGAAACTATTTCTCTATTGTAAAATTTATGATAGTTCATGTTCATGCATGTATACAAAGCATCGCTTGTCCTGGGACCTTCTGAAAGAGTGTGTGCACTTCGGCTTTTTCAAGATTATATGCACATCTAGCTATATAGTAGCTATCATCGACGTCAGCATCAGATTCTGGTTCTTTTTGGAACTAACTTGACCACATTTTTAGCCAGAATTAATATCCAATTCTATATATATATAGTATATATATAAACAGCCTGGCCAAAAATATTCAATAAATTTGCATACAACAAATTTGTCCGAGTTACCTTGAAATCGAAAAAAATAAAAACAAATAGTTTTTAAATGCTATTTTTAAAAATATATTCTAAAGCAAGTGCTTTACTTAAAATGATTGAAAACCCCATAAAAGACAAGATTAATTAGGTGATATGTCAGAGGTATTAGGTTTCCGGCTTCAGAGTTTTATTCCCATAAAAGAAAAACCAGTTCAATTTTGTTGTTTTTTCAAAGAATCTTTAATTCTTTATTTGCAGCTAAGGCTAAAGATATTTAAGTTTCGTCTCATATATGTATGCTTACATCATTTGACATGTACAAAAAACCAACAATTCATATATATACATGCATATATATATGCACAAGTATCTTTATAAGTAAGTATATCTTCGTCATCCATATCGCTTATACTCGTATTAACATACATGCAAAAGATTATAGTTATATAGACTATTTACACAAGAATTGCTGTGCACAATAATTGGATCGTTCTTGATCGTTCACGTTATATTTTTTTTTTTTACATTTTTTCTTGATTTCATTAGTAAATCGATGATATCACATGAGTCCGAAAATGGCAAAGTTCCGGCGACTAAAAGATCTTAAGCACAGAATAAGTTTAAAGACGAAAAAGAATTGCAGAAATCGGATAAGGTAGGGAGAAAAAGGTTAAAAATCAAAACAAAAATATATAACATATTTGGGTGATTGAGTATATATGTGTGGCTGTGTGAGTATGTGTGTGTGTGTGCAGGTTGTGTTCTTCAGTCAGCTGCTCGATGTTGGTGTTCGCTTTAAGGTATTGATTGATGATATACGGGTTAGCAGCAAATTGCTTCATTGGGTGTAGAGTATCAGAGTAACGTTAGCCAGGTCAATTTTTCACTAAATAAACTCCATCTTCATCTTAACGACGACGCTGAGCTGGGGGCAGGCTGAGCAGATAGTCGAGCGCCTTCTGGATCGCTGGTGGGATTGGTGGAGGAGTGGGCAAATGTGCGCCCTGTGGCTGGAAACCATTCTCATCATCGGCCGCATAGTTGAGAGTGATCAACTCGCCCTCGGGGGAGGTGTACGACACGGAACCCTTGACAATGATCACATCCGTGGAGTCCGGCGATGTGGCCTTCTTTACGGTTCCAGTTTCCTCAGCCTTGATTCCATTTGCCGTCTCGTAGCTGAAATGTTTTAGAAGTTCGTTAGTTTTATTCTCGTTTGTATCGTTAATTTTTTAGCAATTGCAATATGAACCTAATTGACCTTGAAAGCTGTGAAAAATTTAAATACTCTAACCTGAAGTATTATAAATTGATAGCTAAACAAGTAATGCAAGCGAATCAAATTTTTAGGTCAACAACGTATTTCATCTGCCTACGAAACTGGTCTCTGACCAGACTGCCAATGATTAATCAGACCGGTAAAAGATCAACTGTTTTGTGTTTAACTCAATCAATAGAGAGCTAAGACTAATTTATTTCTTTATTGAAAGAGTATTAATTCTGCGTTCTTCTTTCAAATTTGTTTTGTCTTTTTTTATGACACTATTCATTTGTATCCGAGGCGCCAGTCTAGCTGTTTATTTATTTATGTWGTTATTAACATTTAACTTGTTAACCGATGCAAATGTTTCTGTTTATAAATTTATAAAAAATTTACATATTTTTATCTATTTATGATTGGATTAGTTTGAAGAACCAAAGACTGGAACGACTTAAATGATGCTTTAATTTAGGTATTAACAACATAAATATTATTATTTATCATAAATTAGTTACAGAAAAAAAGCTCAGAAAGGGGTTACTGGGGTACTTCGTATGGCTTCAATAAATATTATTAAATATAGAAGTTATAGAAATTTTAAATCAAAAAATTATTGACTTTCTATACCTTTATGATCTATGGTAGCTTTAATTAAAAATAAAAAAAATTACATATATAAGATTAATTATAATTATAGTTTGCTGAATTTTGCTCATCTAAGATTTATCCAAAAAAAACTGTTAAACTGAGCTTATAACAACTACAGCGCTGCTTCAGTTATATGTATATAAATAATGCCTAAAAGTAGGCAACACCTTTTACAATACATTGCTAGTTCCGTTGGCGAACTGCTAGTTCATAACTGGTTCAATTCTTTATTATTCATTGAGCTTGAGCTGTCTGTTCTTTACTTACGCATAATTGTAGGCACCATCCGGTTCGATATTGGATTCTTGGCTAATAATCGCAATTGGTTCACCGCCCTGGGGCTTTGGTGCGGCATTTACCAGGCAGAGCAGAGCAGCAGCGGACAGGCAAAGGGCAAACTGCAAATGGGTTAAGAACGAAACGGAAATTAATTCAATTCGAGTTAATTGTAAATGGGCAATTGTTTATAAATAACGAGCGCAATTACACTAGAGTCGACTTGAACAAAAATCGTGAGCTGTTGTTTTTTTTTCTCTCCCGTTTTTCGTCTGTTTTTTTTTTTGCTTTTTTTTTATTTTATGTAAATTTTTGTGTTATTTTGTTACTTGTGTTGAAACCTGGCTCATCGTTTCGCATAGTTGTTTGATTTATGACTCTTGTTTACATTGTTCTCATTTATAGTAATTTTTACAGCCAGATAGACCCGGTCGGAGTGTCGAGCGGATAGACATATGTCAATTTGCCACAGATTTCTTAAGGTCGACCAATAACTAGACGCCAATTAAATTTTGTACACATAAAATTTTCAGTTTACGTATGTGTTTAAAGTAATTATCGCACGAATGTATGGAAAATTGTGGGGCGTGGAGATTGGAGATGAGATTGAATGAGTCGTGCGTGAAAAAAAAAAACAAAAACAAATGGGTAGACTATTATAAATTTAAAGGCAATTCATCGTAAGGCTGTTAAGGTTAGAAATCTGCTGAAAGAAGTGCTGCTCGCTCATCCTCTCCCTCCTCTACCCTAGTTGGGTGCTTATATGTTATACGCTTGTGTTGCAACTAAGCCTAAAGGCGGTGAATCTGTCTGTCTGTCCTACTTAAAGTGCAGCCTGGGCTCTGTTCGCTTAGCCAATAGCCAATGGACGAGTAAGTTACGTGTTTTATGTTTCACTTTAGTTTGCGCTCTTGGCCAGATGGACAGCTGCCAACTGAGCGTAACATTCGTCGCCAGCAGTTTGTTAACCAAATGTCTTACAGCCTCAGCTACAGTCCCAGCCCATGCCCCAGCATCAGCATCAGCGTCAGCGTCAGCCTCAGTCTCAGCCTCGGCTTGTCCAGTCGCACAGTTGGTGTGGATGTTTAGCTGTTGTCTGACCTTTGCATTGCATGCCGGCTGCATGTTATTTGGCTTGGTTTGGCATCGTGCTCGAGCCTTTTAAGTGGTTGCCTCGTCTCCGGCATTCATTAATTGCTGTTGCCATTTCGGCCGGGCTTGCCAGCGACTTTTGCCCATTTACTAGCCAAATGGCTATAACAATTGGTAAATAAACCAACGCGGAAACAACACTTTAAACTGTGGCGCTGTGGCCTTCTGCCACAAGTTATTTTTATGTATTTCTTTGGGCTTTTAATTTGTATGCTGATTGATTTACGACTGTGTTGTAAATGCCAATTTTACGCACTTAAGGGCCTCCTTTATTTTTGCTTATTTCGAAATCCGAAATTTGTTGGGTCTGATTTCAGCTGATATTGGCAGAAGATTTGTCTGTTAGTGGCTAGCACTTTTGTACAATTGTATAAGTGCTCTATTGCATTATATTTTATTTGTTATTCGACGTATTACAAATTCCTCAGCTAACTAGTTTGTTGCCTAAGTCTTTTGATTTGCAAGTAACTCATTGTAAGCAAGAAATTGACTGTAATGAATAGATGAATAAGCGCGCATAATAATTATTATAGTTAGTCTGGCTGCTAGCATATAGGCTAAGCTTAATATAGTTTTGAAGCGCTAACAGTTGATATAACATATATACTATAACATATATATTATATCAACTGTATATATGTATATCCCGTGATTTTTTTTTTTTTAAATTAGAATCTGTGTAATTATCCGGCCTCCGATCGTTGCAAATATTTTCAACATTTCATTTCAAATTAGATTTTATTTGGATTTTTAAATTATTTTTCCACTTTTTTGCCCTGTAAAAAGATGTTTCATATTTGATACTTGAAGGACTCTATATGATGATTTATGATCATCAAACTGAAGTCACACTTTTTGATATTCATTTGAAATGCTCCTTTATATTCCTTCGCTCACTTACGTTCTTCATGTTGTGTTATGTGATTCGGTAATGTAATCCAAAGTTGGGCTTATCCTTTCAGCGATGGGCACACCACACTTCACACTTGTTGTTAATTGAACAAAAGATTTTTTAATGATGCCCAAGTGCCGGCAGCTGAGTCTATTTATACGAAAAGCCCAAAGACGTCGCCGATGACTGCGACGAAGCTGCAAATTCAGCTGGCAAAGCATCGCACATGCAAGATGCAAAAAAAAGCAA